AGAGATGCATGATTGCTAATGAGGCAACTATCCACCGGAGTTCAAATATGAAGTGGATGTAAGCAATTATAGGCAACACGGTAATTAAGGCCTTCAAAATGACAAACCCCGATACTGTATTAAAAGTTGTCTATAAAAGGCCCGACGTGAAAAGTGTGAGAAACAATTCAAACGAAAAAACTAACGGCCTAATTTTACATAACAAAATAATTTACAAAATATCAAATATGAGGCGAGGCATGAACCAACGACAACCACTAAACTATAGGCTTCTGACTTGGGACAGGCACACAAAGATTATGGCAGGGTTGATATAAAAATGAAGATTGCCAATGAGACAACCCTCCACAAGAGACAAAATGACACAGCAATTAACAGCTATAGGTCACCGTATGGCCTTAACAATAAGCAAAGCCCATACCGCAAAGTCAGCTATAAAAGGCCCCGAAATCACAAATGTAAAACAATTCAAACCAGAAAACTAACGGTCTAATTAATGTACAAAAAAATGAACGAAAAACAAATATGTAACACAGCAACAAACGACAACCACTAAATTACAGGCTCCTGACTTGGGACAGGCACATACATACAGAATGTGGCGGGGTTAAACATGTTAGCGGGATCCGGCCCAACGCGCCCCCTAACCTGGGACAGTGGTGTAACAGTACAAGCACATGTTTGTGAGCGCTCAGTCCTTCCCGAAGCTGGGACAGTGGTGTAACAGAACAATATAAGAACAACCTGCACAAATCAATTGCAATTAGATTAACTCAAAAGATCGGTACGAGACACACAAAAAAAACTTACATTAAGACAATAGACACAAAGCACCGAAATAAGAGTATGCAATTACTGGAAGTTTGTTCAAAGCTAATAACAACTAGTACTGAAATAAATCTTGTTCTCCCAGACTGAAGTATCAATCAGTACACAACCAACGGATTTATTAAAAAAAAAAGAAAAAGAAAAACAGTCTGAGAAATGTCTGGTATACATTGTATACTTGCATATTGATACATATACCAGGAAAATTTTTGATAAGTGGTGGTCCGAAGGTTTTGACCATCGAAATTTTGCAATAGAAATAATAGTTAGGACCAGAAGATTTTCTTCAAGGACCACCAGAGAAAAATGATTTTGAGAACTTTCCGATATCTTTGATTTTTACTTTAAAAAAAAAATGGATAGACAATATGTCCTTTTTGATCATATTCGAGACATTCTTTGACGAATTTTTGTGCAGTTTAAGACTATTCTTAAAAATCAAATAGTGGGGGTTTAAGCCAGATTTGTCTAGCAAAATTGAGTTAGAGGAAAGAACAAAGAAAATGTCACGAACAGAGCACACTTGCAGTCATGTCTACCGGACGTATCTTAACTTTCTATAAAATCATCGTAAACTTCATTTATGTCATCCAACATAACAAAAATCTGCTATATTCGACGGCAAATTGAATTTTTGTTTTAATGATCTTCCGTAGAATATCTCCAGAAGAGGTCCAGATTCATTTTTTTGAACTCTTCACCAGAAGACATTCTGGAGATGTGCAGAAGAGACCAATAAAACACGCCCCTGTTTACGAGGGCAAATAAATAAATGAACGCTAATAGCCTATCAAATCAACATTTAAATTTACGTGGATTTTTCCAAAAGAATTTATGAGTATGCACCATCAGGATTCAAAAATATTTCAACCTGTCCTTATTAGATGTTATTTCATTATAATTCTTTAAACTTACAAGTCGAAGATGCTAGCTTTTGTGAATTGTATTAATAAGTATATAATATTAAGATGACAACCAAAAAAAAAAACTTCATACAAGGTCATCTTTATTCTCAAGTAGAAAGTTTATATAAATAGTTTATGCCGTAGCCACAGCCGGATTTGTATCCCTTGTATCGGATTCTATATAGAGATGAAGTTTTTTTTTTAGAAAATTAATGTTCTTTATTCTAATATATTGGCTGTATCTGCCTTTTACAAATAAGACAATAACATTAATTGAAAAAGGAGACGTGGAATGGTTTTCACTGAGAGGAAATTTCAAACAAAGTCCAAATGAAATAGATTTGACCAACTATTTGTTACTATACACTTCACAATGAACAAAACCCATACCGTATCAAAATTGCCTGATTTATGACAAAAAAATCATAAACAAATATGTCAGGCAGCAACTTACGACAGCCGCTATATTACATGTTCCTGACCAGGGACAGACACATATATATTGAGGCGGGTTTAATAGATATAAGAAGATGTGGTATGAGTGCTAATGAGACAACTCTCTATCCAAGTCAAAATTTATAAAAGTAAACATGTTTGTGAGCACTCAAACCTCCCTTAACATGGTGCCGTGGTGTAGCAATACAACATTTTTTTTTGCAGAGAATGATAATTCATTTATATTTCATTTTATCTGAAAGTTGAAAGAGAATTCATTCACTTAATGGTTCTAAATATTCAATGCGGAAAAATTCTCCTGCCATTACCTCCTTCCTTCCCTCCACCCACAACCCATCCCCGAAATGTTCATTACTTATATGCAAATGCTGACTAATGTTGTATGGTTAAAACATTTGGTTGAGGCAATCTAAAGTTTGAGAACAGAAACGACAGCTTTAGCTTTTTCATTTATAAAAGGGTATAACTCAAGAACGGTAACAGTGACGCTACCCAATTTATAACTTGATCTGTGTTTTGTGGCCAGTGATAAGCATTTCGTGTAAGTTTTAAAACATTTGATTTAGGCATACTAAAGTTAGAGAACGGAAACCAATTATTGGGACTTTCTGGACGGACGGGAGAGACGGGTCGGACGGACATGGGTAACATCAGAGAGACATATATATATGTCTCTGGTAACATTTAACGCTACGTCAGGGCAGAACAACAGGTCAGTAAAACAGTGACATGCCTTTCCGAAAGTTACAACATTTGCCAGCTTTTGTATATGCCGTATTCATATTGTATACATCAGGAATGTAAAAGATGTAATAGGACTGTGTTCAAGCCTTATATTGTTTATACATCTTAAATGGTGTCAAGCGAATTGTATTTTTATGAAATGCATAATAAGTTATTTGAACCGAATACTTTATTTTCTTTAAAAAGACGGCAAATAAATATTTTGAAATTAGCAAGTTGCCATACAGTTGAAAACAAGTTGCTATACAGTAAATTTGTCAACATGAGCGAGTTGCCGTACCCTAGACTTTATTTTTTATAGTCTATATTCTTTAAAAACGTTCATTTTGACAACAAATTTCAGTAAATATGATGCCACACTATAATAATCTAAAAACGTGTCTGGAAAAATAATGAAAAACAGTTGAATATCTTGCCAATGGGGCGACAGAGGACGATCGAACTCGAAATTTTCAGGTACTAAGTGGCAAGTTCTTGAGTATAACACAAAATCTTGTCTTATTTTTGTACTTATCGGCCTAATAATTTAAAGAATTATATATCAGAAAATCATTTCTTAAGCGGTACCCTCGTCAAATCAGTAGAAATGCTTTAAATTGAATGAATTCTTACCTTGTTTACTTTTTTTTCCATTTCTCTCCGCTTCGTTAGTACCCAATTTCCGGTGGCGATGATACACAGTGATTGCATACATCACTGTCATATCAGATGAAAATAACCTCCAGGAAGATTTATAAAAATTGGCCCTCTGGGGAAAAGTGGATGATGAAATTCCATCCTGATAAATGCCAGGTACTCTCTGTCACAATGAACAAAACACCAACAACAAAAATTATTCTCTTCACAGCCACACTCTGGAACACGTAACATCAACTAAATGTCTTGGAGTAACAATTACATCAGACTTAAAGTGGTAAATTCACATCAGAAACATGCCTATATTAAACGTTTAAACCTGCTGCATTTGTTTACACCTGTCCTAAGTCAGGAACCTGTTGTTCAGTGGTTGTCGTTTGTTGATGTGGTTCATAAGTGTTTCTCGTTTCTCGCTTTTTATATAGATTAAACTGTTTGCTTTTCTGATTGAATTGTTTTAAACTAGTTATTTTGGGGCCCTTTATAGCTTGCTGTTCGGTGTGGAAGGTCGTACTTTGACCTATAATTGTTTACTTTTTACACATTGTGACTTGAATGGAAAATTGTCTCATTGGCACTCATACCACATCTTCTTATTCATTACATGTACTATATTAAGCAAATTAATTATTGGATTCCTCAGAAGAAATCTCAACATCATTGTGGTATGATATATGGTACAGAGAAGATCAGCTAGATGTGTAACTAACCGGTACAGAAACATCATCATCTGTAAGTGTAGACCCCCCATTTTTTGGACGATCAATGCATTTGAATGGGGACATATGGTTAGAACCCCCCTTTATCCTGGGTTGGGCCCCCCCCCCCAAAAAAAATGGCTGGATCCGCCCCTGTAGAACCTATTTTGTTTTTTTCAAAATTATTCATGCGCACTCCCAAAAGTGACAGAATAGGCAACGTGGTGACGGATTGTCACTCAGCGGTAGAAGTAGAAATAGAAACAACTTTAAAATTTGAATATTTTTTTTTATTTCAGAAGGTCTACACGTTGTAGTCTCAATGAGTGAAAAGGAGTACTCGATACCTGTAAGGCATTGCCAAAGTTCCTTTTTATCGCTGTCTGAATAAAACTCATAAAAACTGGGGTTTTTTTTTGTATCTTCATCTTTCCTTTTTTTAATCATTAAAAAAACCAACCACTGCTGAAAAGAAAAAAATTGCATTTTTTCTACTTTCGTTTTGAATATTTTTATTTGATTAAAATGCGGGTTCCTGCATCGATCCTAAATTATTGGGATGCAGTTTAAGATTTTTCAATATTTAATATTATCTTTTTTGAAGAAATTCTTACTTTCCTATTGCAAAAAAATAAAACCAAAAACGGCATAAATATTGAGGTCGGGAACATTGACTTCTTTTATCCCGGTTTAAAATTTACGCCGAAACGGTTTCGAAGAAAACCAAGAAACAAGGGTTACACTAATGTCCTGACAATGTCCTGACAATGTCCTGACAAAGTCCTGACGGATATGAAAATGCTAATTACGTTTTCATTATATAAAGGATTTACTTTAAATTTGGAACCAAGCAAGATGACAACATTAATTTATTAAATAAAAGAAAAAAAATTAAAAAAAATATTTTTAAGAGTTAGAAAACTTGACCTGACCAACTTCGACTTTGAAATCACTAATGTCCTGACCGATATGAAACGGCTAAATACTTTTTTATTATTCACAGGATAGACTTCAAATTCGATATCAAGGAAGATTAAAACATTTAATCCAAAAATATAAGAAAAAAATGAAAAAAAAAAAATTTTTAGAGTTAGAAAACTTGACCTGACCAATACGATTTTGCCGCGACTAATGTCCGGACCGATATAAAACTGCTAATTTCTTTTTTATCTTTGGAAGGATTAACTTCAAATTTAGTAGCAAGGAAGATTTCGACATTTAACAAAGAAATAAAAAGAAATGAAAAGAAAACAAATATTCAAAAGACCAAAAAACTTGACCTGACCAACATAGGCTATTCACCAAAAAAAGACATGTTCGTTTAAAAAATAGAAAGACTATGTATATTTCTTAAATAAATGTCTTTAAGTTTGATAAATATCAATATTTTATTAAATATTTAAATGACAAAAAGAAAAAAATGTGAACAAGTATTGCAAGGGTAAAAATATATTGACCTGACATTGTCGAACTTGTCCTGATCAATTTTCTAACTGAAAGAAAATGTTAACCTCTTACCTTATATTATTGAAATTGAAAATATCCGATCACAATGATATTACAACATTGAACGCAGAAAGATACTGTTGAAATGAAACGAAAGAGAAATATTAGAACCAGTTGCTGAATGTGAGTATTGTTTATGCATGTTAACTTTCTGTTATTGCTCTAATTGTTAATCTGATTAGGGGCTTGTTATGATTAGATTAATCACCTACTTGTTAATCCAATTAATTAATTATGAACGTGAACTGTGACCAGCTATTATTAAGACTGATAATTTATGATAAACAATACATTGGTATTTATGGGCTTCTACAAGCTTTGGTGATTGCTTTTTAAAAGTGAACATTAGTTACTTACAGTTATAAATATAATACATATTTTTAGTCTCTTTCAAAAGTTTTCATAGTGCTCTAATACATACAACCTCAGTGCTTTTTATTCGAATTGATATATTGCTTTAGTGCTATTTTTCTTTGTATATAAATCTCCTTGCTTTTGTTTAGTGTAATTAATTGTAGAAAATTGTAAATATATTTTTTGTGCTTTTGTTTCATATTACTTGATTCTAATCATGTCTTCATTTCCAGTGCTGATTGCTGGCCATTCCCAGACCAAGTATTTTAATCAATATTTATCTTTATCTGAAACTAATGTGCTTTCTTATTCAGGTTTTCGTATTGACCAGATGTTCAACGAACTGCAACCAACCATCGACAACTACAACACCGTGGTACTTCACGTTGGCGCCAACGACCTCTCCCATGGTTCATCAGTAAAGACTCTACTCAGGAAATACCAACAACTGACATCAGACATTTGGCACAGCAACCCAACAGCAGACATCATCATATCTGGAGTCCTACCTAGAGCCGACAACCAATTCCCAGGGGCACTTCTGCGCACCAACTTCCTAACGGAACTCAACCAGAGAGCTCGGCTACTCAATACCAAACTACAGTTACTAGCTACCCGAGTTCCAAGACTCCACTACGTTGGTCACCCGTCATTCGCCCAGAAAGGTACTATCCAGAGACACCTACTCAGTCGAGATGGTCTTCATCTAAGCTACCGTGGTACATCAACTGTGGTGAAAGACATCGAGAGCGCCATTCGTCATCTACGCAAAACCAAGGATACTCATGACAGCATCTGGGACCTACCAACGTCAACACCAACGTCAACACCAACGCCAACACCAAAAGCACCTACACCAATGCCTGACCCAACTGAACCAGCTGTAGACCAATCACTGTACCGAACTGCACTACTCACTTTACCGATACGAACACCAACACCAACACCAAAACCAGTACTAACTTCAACAGGTATTCAGGTGATTGAAGAGTGGCCTGCTCTTCCACGGGTATGTTATCTGGTATCTTCTCTTATTAACACTTCATCTACCTCTAACACTGTGCATGTTCCTACCACCACGTCCTCATCTGTTCCAGCATGTACCATCTCACCAAATCCTGTTTGTGTCGCACCTACCTCCACTTCTAGCCGCTCACCCACTTCCACTTCTTACCGCTTGTCTACCTCCACTTCTAACCGCTTGTCTACCTCCACTTCTAACCGCTTGCCTACCTCCACTTCTAACCGCTTGCCTACCTCCACTTCTAACCGCTTGCCTACCTCCACTTCTAACCGCTTGCCTACCTCCACTTCCAACCGTTTACCTACCTCCACTTAAAAGGACATTTTACACCATTTCCTCAAAATACAACATCAAGTACAGACTTTGTTAGGATTTTTGCCAGAAGAATTGAGTGTAGTTGTCAGTGTGGTAAACCAGATGTTTTTGAGAACATGATTGGATGTGAAGCGAAAAGAGGACGGATCAGCTGTACTAAGTGGGTTCATCAGACATGTTCAGGAGTTTCAGAAGATTGGTACTGTGATGAACATCGCGATGCTTGAACATTGTATTGTATTGTATTGTATTGTATTGTATTGTATTGTATTGTATTGTATTGTATTGTATTGTATTGTATTGTATTGTATTGTATTGTATTGTATTGTATTGTATTGTATTGTATTGTATTGTATTGTATTGTATTGTATTGTATTGTATTGTATTGTATTGTATTGTATTGTATTGTATATTGTATTGTGTTGTATTGTATTGTATTGTGTTGTATTGTATTGTATTGTGTTAACTCCTATATATTAGATATGAACGTTTTTCATTGTGGTAGGTAATCGTGACTAAATTGTTCTTTTCCATTTATATTTATTGAACTCAATTTAATTGAATGTCTTCTTTTTTTCTGTTAGTGAAAATTGTGTGTATTAATTTATTTTATTTCTTTGTGATTCTAACATAATTGTAATTTATATGCTTGTATATACATCGTTTTTAAACAATACGAATCTCATTTCCTGCCTTTATATGACATGTATAATCACTCAATAACTAGATAAACAAAAAATAAATAATCAGATAGGAAAGAAAACATTCCAATTTGTGATTATAGTAATTAATATAGGTGTGATTTTATTTTAATGGTTCATATCACCTTCCTTTGCGTTTACTTTTATACAGTTTTTTTTATTTAATTGTTACATCAAGAAGAAAAAACCTTTCCATTTACTTAGTTATTAAAATCATTAATGTAGGTAACTAATTACATTTCACTTTTATAATTATTTAATTGGGTTTAATAATTCAATAATTAGTTTCATTAGTCACACTTATTAATCAAATCAAATGAAGTAGAGTTGTGATGAGGGGTAAACAATACTCACAGTCAGCAACTTGTACTCATATTTCCCCTATCTTTTCATTTAACAAAATTTATTTGCTTTGGATGTTGTGTTTTATGGATAAGATAAATATAAATTCAATGACAATATAAGGTAAGAACTAAAAACGTTTTTGTTTGTGTATTAAGTTTAATAAATTGAAGGTGGTTAGGTCAAGTTTTTATTTCGTATGAAATATTGTTTTCCAATTACTTTATAAAAAGTATTAAAAAGAAAACGTTATAATTTGACTTGGTTTCAAATAAGAACTCAATCATACCAACAATGTTACAAGTATTAGCACTTTTATATCGGTCAGGACATTAGTCACGACAAAGTCGATGTTGGTCAGGTCAAGTTTTTTTACCCTTAAAGTATTTTTTTCCCAATTCTTTTCAAATAAGTATTAAATCAATATTACTTTCTTGTCTGGTGTCAAATTTGAAGTCAATCCTTCCAAAGATAAAAAAGAAATTAGCAGTTTTATATCGGTCCGGACATTAGTCGCGGCAAAATCGTATTGGTCAGGTCAAGTTTTCTAACTCTAAAAATTATTTTTTTTTCATTTTTTTCTTATATTTTTGGATTAAATGTTTTAATCTTCCTTGATATCGAATTTGAAGTCTATCCTGTGAATAATAAAAAAGTATTTAGCCGTTTCATATCGGTCAGGACATTAGTGATTTCAAAGTCGAAGTTGGTCAGGTCAAGTTTTCTAACTCTTAAAAATATTTTTTTTAATTTTTTTTCTTTTATTTAATAAATTAATGTTGTCATCTTGCTTGGTTCCAAATTTAAAGTAAATCCTTTATATAATGAAAACGTAATTAGCATTTTCATATCCGTCAGGACTTTGTCAGGACATTGTCAGGACATTGTCAGGACATTAGTGTAACCCAAGAAACAAACAAAAGTCAAAACGGGGTAATTAAACTGAAACTGATGATTCGGTAAGTAACCGCAGAGAGAAAAAAAACTATTGCGTTTTATTCACATTTTATAATGAAATGGATAGTCCATCTTTCTATGTCTTGTGGAAATGTAGTACATCGGGAAACAAGGTAGCTCACAAGTGTCTGCCTGGTCACAAAAACGAAAGTGAAAGTTGAAATTTATCAATAATGAATATTTAGAAATTATCATTATCGTTGATCTTTTCATTCTGTCAGGTGGTTATGACACGAAACTGTAAAGTACCATTAACCTGAAAATTTACAGGTCTTAGTGTCAAGTTTCAAGAAATCCAAAATGATCACGACTCTACCAAATTGAATGTGTTAAAATGTATACAGGTAGTATATATTAATTTGGTTCTTGTATAACTAGTCTGTTCAACAATCATGACAATTTTATTTCATAGGTGAGTACAGTAAATGTGATCCTCAAATAATTGATTAATTGTTGTTGATCTAATGCATATAATGTCCAGTGGCAAATGTTTCCAGCATGTTTAGGACAAGGAAATGAACTGATTAAAAATGAGATGTGGTATGATTGCCATTTAGACAACTATCCTCCAGAGTTAAAGTGAAGTGGTAGTAAGCACTTATAGGCCATCATTTGGCCTTCAACAATGAGAAAACCCCATATCTTATTATCTACTAGTTGCATGGCTTTAAAAAGCCCTGACATGAAAAATGTGAAGCAAAACAAGAAAGCTAATGGCCTAATTTATAACAAAACAATAAACGAAAAACAAAAAGGAACAAACAACAATAACTGTACTGCAGGCTCCTGACTTGGGACAGGCACATAAAGAATGTCGTCCTAAACATGCCTGAAATATTTGCCACTGGACATTAAGCAACCAACAATCAATCAATCATAAAGAATGTTGCAGGGTTAAACATGTTTGTGAGCACTCAACCCTTTCCCTAACCTGGCTGGGCAATTTGCTTAACTCAAAAGAACGATTAGAGACACAAAAACAACTAAATTAAAGCAATTAATACACACAAAGCAATGAAATAAGAGTAGTGACAGTTACTGAAAGCTAGTTCACAGCCAATAGCAACTAATAAATAAATCATGTTCTCCCGACTAAAGTTTCAATCTAACAGTACACATTCAACGGATTTAGTGTAAAGACACCATACAGATGCGGATCCAGGGTTTTGAAAAAGGGGAGCCCTGAATTTGGCAAAGTAGAGGAGGACATGTAAATTATCTTTGCATTGGCCATAAAATTGAGAATGGAAATGGGGAATGTGTCAAAGAGACAACAACCCGACCATAGAGCAGACAACAGCCGAAGGCCACCAATGGGTCTTCAATGCAGCGAGAAACTCCCACACCCGGAGGCGTCCTTCAGCTGGCCCCTAAACAAATATGTATACTAGTTCAGTGATAATGGACGCCATACTAAACTCCAAATTATACACAAGAAACTAAAATTAAAAATGATACAAGACTAACAAAGGCCAGAGGCGTAAGGTGTCCATCTGTCAAGGTTCATTTGACCTTGACCTCATTTGCATGGGTCATTGGTCAATGTTAAGGTTTGAGTTTAGGTCTATGTCCCAGATACTATGAGCAATAGGTCTACTTTATTTGGTATTTAAAATGAGTAAAAGGTGTACATGTCTGTTTGGCAGGGTTTATAAAGCAATGCACTCTTGTCATTATTGGTATATTTTTAGTTGTTTTATTGTCTTTTTTGTAGTTGGTGAAATATTTTGAACCCTTAATTTATATAAAATTTGTATTTTAGGTTCACAAAAATGATTTGAAGTAGTTTTATAATGAAGTGTAAGAACAATGTTGAAGGGAAAGTCTGTGGAGCAGATATCTCCCCTTCTTCAAAATTCTGTGGATTTTGTGGTGGAAAAGTAGTGACTGAAGAAGATAACACTACAAAAGCTTGCCCTAAATGTTCTTTCCTGATCACCAATAGACAGAAGTTCTGTTCTGGATGTGCATGGCAGATTGATCCTAGCATATTTCTTCAAAAGAAAATATTTTGCCAAGGATTAACTCCAGAAAACAAAATATGTGGTGTGGAATTATTGCCAGGTGTTAAATTCTGCAGTGAATGTGGAACCGTGCAGAGTATTTCCACAGGAGGTAGGGAAATTTGTTTCTTCTTTACATTCAGTTATACTATAGTTTAAACTTATGCCAAATACAAATGAAAGCATGTTAATGTAAAAATAAGAATATGTGGTATGATTTCCAATGATACAACTCTCCCACAAGAGACCAAATAACACAGAAATTAACAACTATAGGTCACCGTACGATCTTCAACAATGTAAAAACCATACCCCATAGTCAGTTATAAAAGGCCCCTAAATCTAGATATGTAAAATAATTCTAACAATGAAATTAATGGGCTTATTTATGTACAAAATAATGAACTTATAACAATTATGATATACAGCAACAAACAACAACACTTGTTACTCTTTAATGATTGTCATTTTCTTATCTCCTTAGAAATTGGATTTTGATGGTAAAAAGTTGGTAGACTGTGTTAAAGTCATTCCAGAGCCTTCTTGTCTTTTTTATTTTTTTAAATCAGATTTGTTTTGACTGGACTTCAATAATTAATGATTTATTTAAAATGTTAATTTTTATACGACTGCAAAAATTTTTTGTGTCGTATAATGCTATGATGGCGTCGGCATCTTTTTCTGTGGTGTCATCGTCCTAAGACACATTTGGTTTCCAGACAATAACTTTAGTTTAAGTGAATGGATCTCTATGAATTTTTACCAGAAGGTTCAATACCACAAAAGGAAGGTTGGGATTGATTTTGGGGGTGATGGTACCAACAGTTTAGAATAAGGGGCCAAAAACAAGCATTTTTGTAGTTTCCGGACAATAATTTGTGTGTAAGTGTATGGATCTCTCTGAAATTGTACCACAAGGTTCCATATCACAAAGGGAAGGCTGGGATTGAGTTTGTGGTTAATTACTCCAAATGTTCAGGAATTAGGGACAAAAAAGAGGCCAAAAACAAGCATTTTTCTAGTTTCCAGACAATAACTTGTGTTTAAGTGTGTGGATCAATCTAAAATTGTACTACAAGGTTCCATACCATAAAGGGAAGGCTGGGATTGAGTTTGGGGGTAATTACTCCAAAAGGGGGATCGGGGGTTCAAAAAGTTGGGGGGATTTTTTTTTTCAATTTTTTTTGGGGGGGGTTCATTTTTTTTCTTCAAAATTTTTGAAATCTTCAATTGCACAGTATAGCACAGTATTGTGCAATATCATAGTATTGCGCAATAGCAAGAAATCTTCAATTGCTAAGTATTGCGCAATAGCACAGTATTGTGCAATAGCACAGTATTGCGCAATAGCAAGAAATCTTCTATTGCACAATAGCACAGTATTGCACAATAGCAAAAAATCTTCAACTGCACAGTATTGCGCAATAGCAAGAAATCTTCAATTGCACAGTATTGCGCAATAGCAAAAAATCTTTAATCGCACAGTATTGCGCAACATCCCAGTATTGCACAATAGCAAGAAATCTTCAATTGCACAGTATTGGGCAATAGCACAGTATTGCACAATAGCAAGAAATCTTCAATTGCATAGTATTGCGCAATAGCAAGAAATCTTCAATTGAAAACAAATACAAATGTTTTAATCAATTTCGATGGGATTAATTAAGTCTTTAATTTTTGTGGGTTCTAACCTTGTATAATTTTTTGGGATATTGGGCCCCATTTTTAAATTGGTCTACATTGAGGTAAAATGGGTCCAAAATTAAACTTATTATTGCAGCTGTATGATTTGCTGAATCCTATTGTGCATTTAGATTTTTATTTTGGGCCCTGTTTTCAAATTAGTTCATATTAAGGTTTGAAGGGTCCAAAACTAAACTTTGTTTGATTTCAACTAAAATTAAATTATTGGTGTTTTTTTATATGCTGGATCTAACCATGGTGACGGTTGGTACCTATTAAAATGTTTAAACCCGCTGCATTTGTTTGTACCTGTCCTAAGTCAGGAATGTGATGTTCAGTAGTTGTCGTTTGTTGATGTGGTTCATAAGTGTTTCTCGTTTCTCGTTTTTTATATAGATTTGACCATTGGTTTTCCCGTTTGAATGGTTTTGCACTAGTCATTTTTGGGGCCCTTTATAGCTTGCTGTTCGGTGTGAGCCAAGGCACCGTGTTGAAGACCGTACTTTGACCTATAATGGTTTACTTTTACAAATTGTGACTTGGATGGAGAGTTGTCTCATTGGCACTCATACCACATCTTCTTATATCTATATGTTGTTAGATTTTGGATATCAGACCATTCTAGGTAAATTTAATGTCCAATTGCAAATTTTTAAGATCTTTGACCACATTTATTTTGTGTCAGAAACCAATATTATGTCAAAAATTTGATCACAATCCAAATTCAGACAGTATCAAGCTTGAATATTGTGTCCAAACTTGCCCCAACTGTTCAGGGTTCGACCTCTGCGGTCGTATCAGGCTGTGCTCAGCGAAGCATTTTATTTATGGATTTTAATGGTTCTAGACTTGTTCTTATTTAGTTCATGAAGTTATTGGCAGGTAAACAATGATGTTACATAAATATATCAGAGAACCTTATAATTTACTATTTTATTCAAGAAAACTGCTCTTTTCTTTCTCCTGAATTTCACTTTACCTCAACCAATGAAATCTGTTATGATGAGTAAGCCAATTGTGATGAATAAAGTTAAAAATGAAATGTTAAAAAGTTTTCATTAGATCTATGTAGTCAAAGTCTCTTTGCAGATTAGTTTTAATATTTTAATTACTTGTTTCCTTGATAGAAACTAAAGTGAAAGTTTCTGAACCTGTTAGAGAAGTGAAAGTTGATGAATTTATGAAGGATGAACTTCCTAGAAGACAACCCCATGAAAGTTCTGGATCTGGGTCATCTAGTCGATCAGAGAGTCCTGATACTTGGAGACCACCAGGTAAACCCATATCAACTCCTGACTCAAGTTGCGGGGAAAATGAAATGCATGCATCTGGAGGACCACAGCTACCCCTTAGAAGTATTGGAGAGTATAAGTCTGAGGAGAATGAAGAAACAGCTGATTCTGAATATTTACAGGAGGAAAAGATAGAAAGAAGAGAAAGCAGTAATGAAGGTCGGTTTTCATTATTTAATGAAATGAGCTCGGATACAATGTATGTAATACATTGATTTTGAAACCGGGTTTTTAAATGCAAACACTTGCAAAAGAGTGAGCAGAGTTCACAAGGTTATACACACATTTTTATTGTCCATATATTGTGATTTGAAACAACCAAAATCGGAAAGATCAATAATTTAAAAAGGATGTGCACAATTTCATTTGGTAGTTTATATTTTCTGAAAGTTTCATTTAAATGTGTCACTGGTTTAGTGGTAGTTGTTGATACAAATTGTGGAGGGATAAATGAACTGACAGATTTACAAAGGAATTTTAGTGGACAGAGCAATGGATAGTCATCACAATTTTACTAAGCACAGTACAATAGCTTTCTGAAAAGCCAAATGATAAAAGGTAGTTCATCATGTTCATGATGCAAATTTTCAACAGACCTATGAAGAACCTATTATGATCTATTATCCAGCTGATTACATGTCTTACGTCCTTGACCTTTTGTTGTTGGTAGATTGCTGTCTGGAAGGAAACCATACTCATCTGCTTTTTTGAAATCATGTTTAAGATTACAGAAGTTATTCATTTGTACATGTTGTATGATGGTCAATTTACTCAAGTACATAAATTAAATTTTTATAATTTTTTTTATTGTTATCATTTTCAGATAATGCTGAAAACAGTGGAGATCTTGAAATAGAAACCAACCTGTCTTCAGCAACTGACACAGTGAATAATAATGTGACTGAACAAACACCAGCACAAGAACCAATGGAAACAGAGCCGAATATTGAGGGAGGTAACTCATGGACACAGTACACTGAAAATTCTCAAACACTTAGTTATGAGAATAGGTCAACTTTAACCCTGAATGTTACAGGGTCAAATGTTATCAGACCTCATTCATTTACACTACCAAGTAGTAATACAGCACCATTAGATGGTATGCCATCAGAACCAGAAAGGGAGACAACTGTGACAGAAGAAATGGAAGAAAATTCTGGAAATCCACTAGAGGAAATTCCACCTCATAATATGGTGACTGGAAGTAAACAGCCTTCTCAAGGAAAAAGCAAGGTACAAGAACTCACCAAAAAGTTTGAAAGTACAGTTACTATTGAAAGCAGTGGTAAAAATCAAGAGCCCAATAATGGAAGTCCAGAACTGAAGAGAGAAATCAGTCATTCATCAGCTGGAAGTGAATTGGGCTCAGATGAGGACAACTCATCTAGTGATGAAGATGATGACGATGAAGACCCCAAAAAAGACCAAACACCAGGGAGTAAAGGGGCTAAAAAGAAACCAAAAGGGGCAAAAGAAAAAAGACAGAAGAAAAAAATGAGAAAGGAAAGAAATAAAAGAAGAAAATTAAACTTACCTGAAACTGAGTCTGGTACTGAAGACAAAGATACTACCGCCACAAGTAAAAAGGAAACAACTTCCTCAAGAGTAAATTTATCTTCGAATGTTAATTAACTAAGTAATCAAACTGGATTTAATAGGAAATTATTTTTCATAAAGTCCGGATTTAATTTTTTTGTTATGTTCCTTGCAGACAATGTAACAGTAGTAATTTTACTTACTAAGTTGAACTTCAGAATTGCCCAATAAAGCAACAAAATTCCACCATTTTTATACGACCGCAAAAAAATTTTTGTGGTCGTATATTGGTATGACGTTGGCGTCGTCGTCCGAAGACACATTAGTTTTCGCACTCTAACTATAGTTTAAGTAAATGGATCTCAATGAAATTTTACCATAAGGTTCAATACCACAATGGAAGGTGGGGATTGATTTTGGGGGTTATGGTACCAACAGGTAAGGAATTAGGGGCCAAAAAGGGGCCAAAAATAAGCATTTTTGTAACTTCCAGACATAACTTGTGTGTAAGTGTATGGATCTCTCTGACATTGTACCACAAGGTTCCATATCACAAAGGGAATGCTGGGATTGATTTTGGGGGTAATTGCGTCCAAATTTTAGGAATTAGGGGCCAAAAAGGGGCAAAAAACAAGCATTTTTCTAGTTTCATGACAATAACTTGTGTGTAAGTGTATGGATGTCTCTGACATTGTATCACAAGGTTCCATATCACAAAGGGAATGCTGGGATTGATTTTGGGGGTAATTGCCTCCAAATTTTAGGAATTAGGGGCCAGAAAGGGGCAAAAAACAAGCATTTTTCTAGTTTCATGACAATAACTTGTGTTCAAGTGTATGGATCTTTATGAAATTGTACTACAAGGTTTCATATTACAAAGGGAAAGCTGGAATTGAGTTTGGGGGTAATTGCCCAAAAAGTTTAGGAATAAGGGGCCAAAAAGGGGACAAAAATAAGCATTTTTCTAGTTTCCAGACAATAACTTGTGTTCAAGTGTATGGATCTCTCTGAAATTATACTGCAAGGTACCATACCACAAAGGGAAGGCTGGAATTGATTTTGGGGGTAATTCCCTCAAAATTTTAGTTATTAGGGGCCATAAAAGGGCAAAAAAACAAGCATTTTTCTAGTTTCAGGACAATTGCTTGTGTGTAAGTGTATGGATCTTTATGAAATTGTACTGCAAGGTTCCATATCACAAAAGGAAAGCTGGGTTTGAGTTTGGGGGTAATTGCCTTAAACGTTTTGGAATTTAGGGCCAAAAAGGGGCCAAAAAACAAGCATTTTTCTAGTTTCCAGACAATAACTTGTGTTCAAGTGTATGGATCTCTCTGAAATTATACTGCAAGGTACCATACCACAAAGGGAAGGCTGGGATTGAGTTTGGGGGTGATGAATCAAAAGGGGGTTCAAAAAATTTGGGGGGGGGATTTTTTTTTCCTTTTTTTTCTTTAAAATTTTCCATTTTAAATTGGTTATTTCTGATTTATATATAAAAGCAAATAATAATGATATGGTTTGAATAGGTAAATTAAAAATTTTTAAGTTCTAAGACCACTTTCATTCTGTGTCAGAAACCTATGCTGTGTCAAATATTTAATTACAATCCAAATTCAGTGCTGTATCAAGCTTGAATGTTGTGTCCATACTTACCCCAACTGTTCAGGGTTCGACCTCTGCGGTCGTATCAAGCTGCGCCCCAGCGGAGCATTTTATTCAAGACTAGCATTATATTGATTCATGTAAATATATTCCATTTGTTATGATAGCCACTTGTTTGCATAGTTTGAATTGTGCTTGTAGATGATCTTAGATATTTAATCGTAAGGCTTGAGGATTTGTTAAAGATTTTTTTCTCAAGAAATTGATGATATTTAAATAATATGTTCTCAGAAGGAAGAGGTGAACAAGCAGCAAGATGATGCTTACAAACAGAAAGATGAAAGTACCAAGCAGAAGGAAGCAGCATTGTCTGAGATGTCAAATGATAAGAAACAGCAAGAAAAGGAGAAGCCATACAATACTAGAAGCACAACTCAAGGGAACATTTCAAAGGTAGGTTTGATGGCAATGACATGACATATGTTTGTTGGTTTAATAAAAGATTGTGACAAAATCAAAAATATCACTCTGAAATTAAGAATTATCCCTTTCATGCCTCTGATCCTATAGATGTCTCAGCTCTTCAACGTTTATTTCAGATTCAAAACTGTTTTGGCCTCAAATCACACTGAATAGACATTGTTTTTAAATGCACTTCTGTTGCCAAAAATATGTTATTGTTAATATTTTATCAGTTATTATTATACCTTACATATATTTCAAACAATTCTATTGGGTAAAACGTTATCACGTGACATGAAATAATTCAGTTAATTTTCATTCAATTGCAAGGAAGAACGAATAACCCTAAAAATTTACACCAGCGTTGAATAACCCTATTATTCACCGGCGAATAACCTTTTTAGTTTGTTGATTTGTACTCATGAAAATGAAGTCACAGACGTAAATAAACAAAATGGCAACGTTGAAGTTACAGGAAGCCCATTGATCGAGAGAAGAGGAATAAGGCTTTTGACGTGCATCTTGTGCCGATGATATCTCTAATAACGGTCCTTTTCAGGGCCATCAATATTTTATAAAAAGAATCTACCTTTGTTGTACATACGAGAATTCTAAGACACAAATTACATGTATTTTTGAACGTCAACTTGTGTTTGTTACTGACTCAAGTAAGGGTAAGTGCTTTTACAATGATTCAAAATGCCCTTCCACTGTTAGTTCGGTATAATAAAACAATTGTGACCCCTTAGAAGCGATGAATATCCAAAATTGTCAACCCTTAAAAGTTATTTTACTTCGGGCTGCGCCCTCAGTGAAATAACCTTCTCATGTTGACAATTTTGGATATTCACCTTTTCAACGGGCCATAATTGTATATTGTTCCATGCAATGAACCAATCTATTTACGGAATTCCATAATGAGAAAGTCTTTGATTTAGACATTATATATGATTGATCCATACATCATTAACATGGAATTGGAAACTAAACAATGTAATTTATTTGTATAGATGTTGATTTTCTTAAATGGTCCATTGTGCTGTTCTTACATTTTCAAAGTTCAATTAGATTGTATGAATAAAATCTTCATATGTATTTAGCTGAGGAATCATGAAAGTTCTTTTTATACGACCGCAAAAATTAAAAATTTTTTGGTCGTATATTGGTATCACGTTGTTGTCGTTGTCTTCGTTGTCGTCAGCGTCGTCCGAAGACAGATGGTTTCCGGATAATAACTTTAGTATAAGTAAATAGAAATCAATAAAATTTTAACACAAGGTTAATAACCACAAATGGAAGGTTGGGATTGATTTTGGGGGTTATGGTCCCAAAGGTTTAGGAATTAGGGGCCAAAAAAGGGGCCCAAATAAGCATTTTTGCAGTTTCCAGACAATAACTTGTGTTTAAGTGTATGAATCTCTCAGAAATTATACCACAAGTTTCCATACAACAAAGGGATGGTTATGGGGGGATTATGGCTCAAACCATTTAGCAATTAGGGGCAAAAAAGGGGGGAAAACAAGGGTTTTTATGGTTAAAGGACAATTTAGACAATTTAAAAGCAGTGTAAGGGAGGTAATCCAATCCATTTAAAGAATACTGTTGTATATATGTTTGATTACCTCCCTTACACTGCTTGTAAATTATGTATTAAGAAATGATGATTGTCTTGAGATGATTAGCTGTAAATTTATTTTTAGAAGTTACTATTAATTAATATTAATTTTAACCATGACTGTATGTCATTTTATATTTTAATATTTTATGATGTATTTAAATGAGTAGTTATGGTTGCAAACTCCATTAGAAATTTTAATTGAGATTATTTTTGGAATAAGGGAAAGGGGGGAGTTGAAACATTTTTTTTTGGGGGGGGGGGTTAATAAGAATATAAGAATTTGTGGGGGGGCTTCAATTTTTCTCATTTCAGATTTCAGAAATTAGAAAGAAAATTTCTTCAAATATTTTTTTTTTTGGGGGGGGGGGGGGGGGGGGGCAATTCGCAACAGCATAGTGTATTGCACAAAAGCAAAAAATTGAATATATTATAAATTCAAATCATATAACCAGTTTTAAGTTCTTTGACTGCACTTATTCTGTGTCAGAAACCTATTATGTGTCAAATATTTAATTACAATCCAAATTCAGACCTGTATCAAGCGCGAATAATGTGTCCATTTTGGTCGCAACTTTTCAGGGTTGGACATCTGCGGTTGTATCCAGCTGCGCCCAGTGAAGCAATTTATTTTTCTCTGTGCTAAATTGATATTGAAGTCATTAAACCAAAAAAACACCTGACTTGGAATTTGAGATGGAAAATCCCAACTCAAAACCTAGTTACTGAAAACCATGAAAATCCTTCGTAGTATATTACACAGATGTCAGTGGGGTAATCTGATTAAGGGTATTGACAGTTGTAGGTTGGGGAAAATTAAACTGGTATTATTTCTATATAAAAACTTTCTTAGTTCAAGAAAAGATGAGTTTTGGTCAGAACTCTAGAAGTTTGTAAACAGTCATATATGTATATAAAATTGTAAAATACAAATTGTTTAAAATGTTGAATTTTAGAAAAACAAATACATGAAAAATTGGCATACTTTAGTCCTAATTAATCTCTAGCAATTTTGTTTTGATAAGTTGTTGATTGAGCCATTTTTCTTATGAAATTCGTATTTAGTTGTTGTCGCTGGATATTTAATGCACATCTTCTGTATTTCTTAATATAAAAATATAAAATTATGTAAAGCAATCACCAATCAACCAATCTTATATAATTTTAGAAAGACAAGGAAACAACAAATTTAGAAAAAACAAATGAAGGAAAAGCAGAAAATGAAAAACCTTATAATACAAGAAGTACTACACAAGAAAAGGAAACACAGGTATGTAAACACATGATTTATATAAAGTTTTGTTTGATGTGATAGTAAGTTGTTTTCTATTCTTTGCACAATTTGAATCAACAGAATATATATTAGGATATATGTCAGGCTCACAAAAAAAGAAGGTCACTTTGACCTATAATTTCTGTATTTCTCAATTTCTTAGAAGGGCAACAGAGTAAAGCTCTGTACTTTTCTCTGAATTAGTGACATTGTGTTTTAGGGTTTGGGACAAGTAATTTATTGAAGGGAATAATAGCTCTAAGCTTTCTTTACATAGGTTTGTTTGTTATTTAAATTGTTATTTGTGATCCCAATTGTTATTTGTTATTTCAATTGTTATTCGTTATCCCAATTGTTATTTGTTATTCCAATTGTTATTTGTTATTCCAATTGATATTTTTTATACGAGCGCAAACAATTTTGTGGTCGTATATTGGTATCACGTCGTCGTCCCGTCGTCTGTGTTGTCTGAAGACATTTGATTTCCGGACAATAACTTTAGTATTAGTAAATAGAAATCTATGAAATTTAAACCCAAGGTTTATAACCACAAAAGGAAGGTTGGGATTGATTTTAGGGGTTATGGTCCCAACAGTTTAGGAATTAGGGTCCAAAAAGGGGCCCAAATAAGCATTTTTCTAGTTTCCAGACAATAACTTGTGGAATGGTGTATGGATCTCTCTGAAATTATGCCACAAGTTTCCATACCACAAATGGATGGTTAGGATTGGCTTTGGGGTGTTATGGCTTAAACCGTTTAGGAATTAGGGGCAAAAAAGTCAGAAAAAACAAGGGTGTCCTGGTTAATGGACAATTACTTAAGTACAATGTTGTGTTTGAATTACCTTCCTTACACTGCTTTTAAATTATGTATAAAGAAATGTTGTATTGTCTTGAGGTGATTAGGTGTCAATTTATTTTTAGCTCACCTGGCCCGAAGGGCCAAGTGAGCTTTTCTCATCACTTGGCGTCCGTCGTCCGTCGTCCGGCGTCGTCCGTCGTCGTCCGTCGTCGGCGTAAACTTTTTACATTTTGAACTTCTTCTAGAGAACCACTGAATGGAATGAAACCAAACATGGCATGAATGTTCCTTATGAGATGCTGACCAAGTGTTGTTACTTTGTAGCGGATCCATCATCCAAGATGGCCGCCAGCGGGGGACTTAGTTTAACATAGGACCCTATGGGAAATACATACAAATGTCTTCTTTTAGAGAACCACTGAATGGAATGAAACCAAACATGACATGAATGTTTCTTATGAGGTGCTGACCGAGTGTTGTTACTTTGAAGCCGATCCATAATCCAAGATGGCCGCCAGCGGGGGACTTAGTTTAACATAGGACCCTATGGGAAATACATACAAATGTTTTCTTTTAGAGAACCACTGAATGGAATGAAACCAAACATGGTATGAATGTTCCTTATGAGATGCTGACCGAGTGTTGTTACTTTGAAGCCGATCCATAATCCAAGATGGCCACCAGCGGGGGACTTAGTTTAACATTGGACCCTATGGGAAATACATACAAATGTCTTCTTTTAGAGAACCACTGAATGGAATGAAACCAAACATGGCATGAATGTTTCTTATGAGGTGCTGACCAAGTGTTGTTACTATGAAGCTGATCCATAATCCAAGATGGCCGCCAGCAGGGGACTTAGTTTAACATTGGACCCTTAGGGAAATACATACAAATGTCTTCTTTTAGAGAACCACTAAATGGAATGAAACCAAATATGGCATGAATGTTTCTTATGAGGTGCTGACCGAGTGTTGTTACTTTGAAGCCGATCCATAATCCAAGATGGCTGCCAGCGGGGGACTTAGTTTAACATGGGACCCTACGAGAAATACATACAAATGTCTTCTTTTAGAGAACCACTAAATGGAATGAAACCAAACATGGCATGAATGTTCCTTATGAGGTGCTGACCGAGTGTTGTTACTTTGAAGCCGATCCATAATCCAAGATGGCCGCCAGCGGGGACTTTGTTTAACATAGGACCCTATGAGAAATATGTACAAATGTTTTCTTTTAGAGAACCATTGAATGGAATGAAACCAAACATGGCATGCATGTTTCTTTTGAGGTGCTGACCAAGTGTTGTTACTTTGAAGCTGATCCTTCATCCATGATGGCTGCCAGATGGGGACAATGTTTAACAAAGGACCCTATGGACAATACATACAAATGTCTTCTTTTAGAAAACCACATACTGAATGGATTGAAACCAAACATGGCATGAATGTTCCTTATGAGATGCTGACTAAGTTTTGTTACTTTGAAGCTGATCCTTCATCCATGATAGCCGCCAATGGGGGGGACTTCCTTTAACATAAGAACCTATGGGAAATACATACAAATGCTACTTCTAGAGGTGCACTGAATGGAATGAAACCAAAACATGGCATAAATGTTTCTTATGAGGTGCTGATTAAGTGTTGCTACTTTGTTGCCGATTTACTGTTCGAGATGGCCACCAGGATTTTTTATTAAATTACAGGACCAATATTAAACCAAATTTGGCCTCACTCATTATTAGGGTATCTGTTATGATTTTAATCTATTTTTACATGATTTCCAAAACCAAAGTAGAATCAGGTGAGCGACACAGGCTCTTGAGAGCCTCTAGTTAGAAGTTACTATTTTAATAATTTTAAAAATGCTGATTAAGGTATATTAATTTTAGCCATGATTATGTATGTAATTTTCTATTTTAAGAATTTTATGATGTTTTTAAATGGGATATTATGGTTGCAAACTCCATTGGTAATTCGATTTGAGTTTATGACCATATCTTGAGGAAAAGAATTTTTTTTGGAAAAAGGGGGTTGTGGTGGGGGGGGGGGGGGGGGACATTTTTTTCTCAAGATTTCAGAAATCAAAAAGAAAATTTCTTCAAAAATTAAAAGGGGGGGGGGGGTACAACTTAAGGGGGGGGTTTGAAAAAGAAGGGGGGTAAATTTAAAAAAAAAAAATTTGGGGGGGGGAGTTCAATTTGCAACAGCATAGTGTATTGCACAAAAGCAAAAAATTTAACATAAATTCAAATCATATAACCAATTCTAAGTTCTTTGACTACAGTTATTCTGTGTCAGAAACCTATTATGTGTCAAATATTGAATTACAATCCAAATTCAGCTCTAGACCTGTATCAAGCAGGAATATTGTGTCCATTTTTGCCCCAACTGCTCAGGATACGACATCTGCGGTCGTATCGAGCTGCGCTCGGTGAAGCAATTTATTATTTGTTATTTTAATTGTTATTTATATTTTCAATTGTTTATTTGTAGCAGAACTTGAACACCAACTCAACACAGACAAATAAGAATACTGGAGATGGAAAAAGGTGATTATTAAAGCATTTGAAAACTTAGAAATTTCTTTAAAATAAGAAAAGGAAAAAGGAAAAATTGGTATTTTTCAAATGCAAATGTTAGGTTTTTTATTCCAATATAAACAAGCTTTTTGATGTCAGTGTTTTTAAGTGAGCCATTGAAAATAACTGATTTATTTCATGATATTGATATAACTATAATATACATGTATGCATAGTTTATTTACCCTTGTTTTAAAAATTATAAAAGGAAATCTTTGTTTTTTATGGTCCAAAATATTTTAAATGAAGGTAAACATGCATGTATCTGACTGTATATGTTGACCAATTTTAATGTGATTTCTGTTTTTGGAAAAAAAAAATGTTTTGAAGCATAGTACAGAAACACAGTTTTACTACTTGAATGGCAGTAAGACAGTATATATATATCTATATACAAGTCTATATTGAAAACAACGTTCAAACCTATGATTGCGTTGGATAAAAACCGCAATTTTTATACGTGTGCATGCAAAACAAATATCTTGGTAGAGTGGTCTAAATACATCACAAACAACATTTTCCAAAAGACCAAAAAAGTGAAAAAGTATATTTTAACAAAACGCATTTGACTAGTAGGTCGAACAACGGATGTTCTTAAACCCTAATGACTGCCATGGCGATTGCCAAAAAAACGGATACCAGATGTAAAAATGGATCTTAATTATTAATTTAATACCAAACAGAAAACAATAAACTTGAGGAGAAGATGGTATACCGCAAACATGAGGTGCAAAAATTTGTACACCATATCCGGATTTCGACAATTAATGTCTCTTTAGTGATGTTAGGAATCGAAACAGTATTTGGAAGGCCATATAATTTACCTCAATTTGGGATTGACTCTTGAATTTTGAAGAGTCAAAATAGGATGAACAGATCATATAAACCTGAAGGCAAATATAATACAAGCCAAAACGAAAAAATATAAACAAGTCTAAATTGAAAACAACGTTCAAACCTATGATTGCGTTGGATAAAAACCGCAATTTTTATACGTGTACATGCAAAACAAATTTCTTGGTAGAGTGGTCTAAATACAGCACAAACAACATTTTCCAAAAAACCAAAAAAGTGAAAAAGTATATTTTAACAAAACACATTTGACTTGCAGGTCGAACAACGGATGTTCTTAAACCCTGCTGACTGCCATGGCAATTGCCAAATAAACAGATACCAGATGTAAAAAAGGATCTTAATTATTAATTTTATATCAAACAGAAAACAATAAACTTGCAGAGAAGATGGTATACCGCAAACATGAGGTGCAAAAATTTGTACACCATATCCGGATTTTGACAATTAATGTCTCTTCAGCGAAGTTAGGAATCGAAATGGTATTTGGAAGGCCATATAATTTACCTCAATTTGGGATTGACTCTTGAATTTTGAAGAGTCAAAATAGGATGAACGGATTATATAAATATATATATATGAATTAAAATAGAAGAAATGCCTTTTTTCTCTCACAGTGATTAGTATTTTTTCAGTTTTATATAACAAGTTTAAAAAAAAAAACAAATCAAACAATTGCTGTTGAAGTTAAAATAAGTGATGAATTCCGATAAATTATGGGAGAATTATCTGAGTCAATGTTTCCTACTGAACAATTTTAATGTCAGTTGCCAGAATTTTTTGGAAACTCTCTGCATCAATTAAAATAGCACCTACAGCTTGTCATGAAATAGGTAATCAGATGTTAGCTTTTTGCTGTTAATACAGTGTTTAAATTGTAAATACAATTTACAGACAAAAAATAATCATGTATGGTTTGAACACCTATAAACAATAATGCTTTTCATTTCAGTACACAGGAAAATAAAAGCACTGCTAACAAATCAAATGCTGTGTCGAAGAAAATTGAGTTTGCAGAAGTTTATTTCCATATCATTGTATCCCCAACGTTTTTACCTGACAACCAGAAAGGGGATGTCCATGTCTCATTTCAATCATCAACACTAGGTGGATGGAAATGTAAAAAACACAAAATGAATTTCAAAAGGCAAGTTTTTTATTACCTTTAGTTTTAAGCTCATCTGATTCTAAGGGACTTCTGAGTTTAAAGATTCATTCTTGTTGAGTTATAAAAAGGGTAGAGTGAATGTGCACAATGCCTACATACCAAAAATATATGACTGAAAATAGCCACAATTCAAAGGAACAGTTCTTTTTATTGCTTTTCTACATTGTAGTTTTATCTGTTTTTAACAGAAATTATTCCCTTTATTAGTGGTCAATTCAATGATAGAATCAGCCTCTCAAATGATTTGTAGCCAATGAAATAAACAAACAATGAAGTTTTTTTCACCCAAATTTTTTTTTCTCATTGTGTGATGGTATTTAAGCATAATCGCCTCTTTTCATACATTACAATGGCTAAACTAGGGAAAGGCATGTTTATTTTGAATAATGAATTTTGATCAGTGAAGAGCTGAGAACAAACAAACCACATGTTGATTATTAGATCAATAATGGGCTAGAAGGCAAAAAAAAAAATGGATTTGAGAAATTGCTATTGCAATATTATGTCAAAACTGCTTGAATGCCTGTTGGCTTTTTTTTTTCCTTATAAGTGACTCAGAATACCTTGGCTGCCATTCACTGATGACCTCAATAGAATATAAATATATATCCTTGAACTTGTTGAATTTTTGTCTCTTTCAGAATTCATGCTGATGGCCATCTTGAATATGAAGGTGTGGTAAAAATTCCAAAAGATATTTTGATGACACGTTTGTATTATTGTTACTATGTGGTTAAAAATGGCAATGAGGTTATTGAGGAGTACATTTATTGCCATTCATCAGAAGCAAAACATCGAACCTTGTCTGTGGAACATGGCAAAATGAGAGGTAAAACTGAATACTGTGTTAATATATATGAAACAACTGTTTAAATAAGAATCTTCTGTAGTATATTTTTTTAATTTTCATAAAATGCAAATTTTGAATGAACATTATTTCAAAATCAGTATAAGAATTTAGAATTTGTTTGTACATTTTATATGAATTTGGTTAAATATACCTACCATGAAAATACATTTTATTTATAGAATAGGTTTTGCTTATAACATGTTCTCATCTCAATTATATACCAGGTGATTAAATTTTAAACATCCACGAGATGTAATCACCTTAGGTCATAATTTCCTGTGTGATTTGATACCAGTTTTTGTGTCACTTACTATGAATGGTGCTGCAGGTTTTAGTTTTCATGAATGCATGCTAATCTGGTAACAATGTAACCTCTTTTTATATAGATAGATATTTTTATACAACCGCAAAAATTTTTTTGGGATCGTATAATGGTATAATGTCGTCGTCTGCGTCGTCGTCCGAAGACACATTGGTTTCCGGACAATAACTTTAGTTTAAGTGAATGGATCTCTATGAAATTTTTTTAAAAGGTTCAATACCACAAAAGGAAGGTTGGGATTGATTTTGGGGATGATGGTCCCAACTGTTTAGGAATTAGGGGCCCAAAAAGGGGCCCAAAACAAGCATTTTTCTAGTTTCAGGATAATAACTTGTGTATAAGTATTTCGATTGCTCTGAAATTGTACCACAATGTTTAATACCACAAGTAGAAGGTTGGGATTTATTTTAGGGGTAATGGGGGCCAACAGTTTAGGAATTAAGGGCCAAAAAGGGGCCAAAAACAAGCATTTTTCTAGTTTACAGACAATAACTTGTGTGTGTAAGTGTATGGATCTCTGTGACATTGTACCACAAGGTTCCATATAACAAAGGGAAGGCTGGGATTGAGTTTGGGGTTAATTGCCCCAAACATGTAGGAATTAGGGGCCAAAACAGGGCCAAAAACAAGTTTTTTTCTAGTTTCCAGACAATAACTTGTGTGTAAGTGTATGGATCTCTCTGAAATTGTACTACAAGGTTCCATACTACAAAGGAAAGGCTGGGATTGAGTTTTGGGGTTATTGCTCCAAGGGGGGTTTCAAAAAGTTGGGGGGGGGGGATTTATTTCCCAATTTTTTTAAGGGATTCATATTTTTTTTTCAAAATTTTTAAAATTTGAATTTTTGAAAAGTTTCAAGAAGTAATCTTCAATTGCACAGTATTGCGCAATGGATTTATAAGATCTTTGACCACATAAAAATTTTATCACAATCCAAATTCAGACAGTATCAAGCTTGAATATTGTGTCCAAATTTGCCCCAACTGTTCAGGGTTCGACCTCTGCGGTCGTATCAGGCTGCGCTCAGCAAAAGCATTTTATTGAAGGTATAATACCTTGATCTTATATGTATATGGATGACTTATGGTCCAAATATTCCCTTTTTCTGTTGTACTTGACCTTATTTATATGGTTCAATGACTTGATCAAAAATGTAATAGGTTCACTTGACCTGGACCTCATTTTTGCGGCTCACTGTTCAAAGTTTTCATTTACTATAAGTATCCTATTGGTAAACAAATATATTGGGTTTTGTTTGCATTCTTCAGTCCTAGTCAGTTAAACATGAAAGACATTTAAACATTTCTACTATTGTGATTTTAGAAAAAAAAATCCATCAAATATGGAACAGTGATTAGTAGCAAATGTTTTCTTGTCTTATTCAATAGATACCATTCATCAATTTGACGGAGTTATTAAGGATAAAGTAGAAAAAGACAAAAACAAAGGAATGATAAAAACCTTCAAAGGCTGGTTTGGTGTAGATGATTATAAGAAAGAGCTTAAGAAAGAAGCAGCCTTTTCATTCAAAGCATTGGCACCACAAGTACTGTTGTCAATAAAGGAAACTACTGGTGTAACAGGAGAAGAAATAATATTTTACATTGAAAGTTTGTTAGAAGGACTAGATTCAGCATATCGTGTTACTGCTGGATTATGGTATACAGGCAGAGAATTCCTGTCATACATGTCAAAGGTTTGTTACATGAATACAGTTATTATACCCCAGGCTAAAAAGTAGGGGAGATGTATAATTATACTCCCTCTCCTAAGGAGTTGGGAATACCTGTGCTTTTGTATGTCTGATATTTTGGTCATTATTTTCTAAGGACCTACAAATCAGAGTTTCCTGACATTTACAATGTAGTAGCAAGCTTCAAGTGAGCATGTTCTACAGTGCATTTCATTTTCACATTCATCCTTCATCAACCTCATGTTCACTGAATACTTAAAATTGAGAATGGAAATGGGGAATGTGTCAAAGAGACAACAACACCACCAAAGAGCAGAAAACAGCTGATGGCCCCCAATGGGTCTTCAACACAGCGAGAAAATCCCGCACCTGGAGGCGGGCTCCAGCTGGCCCCTAAACAAATATGTGTACTAGTTCAATGAAAACTAAACTACTAAAATGCCTTTTTATATCAATTAGAAAAAAAAAGTACTAAGAAAAAAGTGCAATAGAAATAATTTTTAAAAATATGCACTTATACAACATATCTTAAAAGATACAATGGTGATAAATAATCAGTACATGTAATATTGATTAAAATACAGTAGACCTGACTTATTCCTTGGTGAAAAAAATGACCTCTTTTGATTGGTTACATTCCCAATGGCTTAACATTGATACACTTGAATGTCACTAAACATAAAAATTAGACTGCAAGGTACAGTTATACTTCCACTCTAGGTCACTAAATATTTTATTTGTAATTTTTCAGTGTTACTTCAATTTGTCCTTATTTCAACTGCTATCAGTGTATATAATTTATATTGTTTACAATGTATTAAGGGTGGCACATGCTTTAATAGGATAACAAGTTTTCACACAATATGAAGATCTGTGACAACTCCACATAGCATATGCAATAGCCAAATGAAAAACACATTATATAATGGGACAACTTTATGTAATTACAATGTCATATTTGCATCCAATATCCTTTCATCAGTAATTTTTACAAATACAAAAAGTTCTACTAATTTATGTATATTTCATGGAGATCTTATAAATATGGTGAAAGATTGAATAACTTTGATTTATTTTTACAACAGGAAATACACAATTTCATAGCGGGACAGTTAAGTAGATTATATGAGAAGAAAAAATCAAAAGTTGATGATGAAGACCATGTCTTACACTTGTCAGCTGCTATTGCCTTCATTTCCTTGAAAGATACTTATGGTGTTCAGCTGACAGATGTAGAAGATGATAACCTGTGTAGAGCTCTTTTGCCTATTTTGAATGACAGAAAACAATGTCCTGAATTTGAAGGATTAAAAGACTACTTTCCAAAGACAAAGAAAAGAATGTATGTATATTTTCATGTAGCCTTCTTTTGGGGTAAAAGATTGCTTTTAAGCCATTAAAAATCGGATGGACCATGTATTTTAAACTAATTTTTTTCTTTCTACCAAATTTTTTTACAGATTACAGATGAAAGTACCAAAATTTATTAAAAAAAATTAATGTTTTTTTAGTTTGTTTCCATGTTACTATTGTCACAATCCTTGTGTTATTCAGGAAACTGGTTTCTATCAAATATATTATTTCCCTGAGATATATCTTGTGTGATTAAACTCAAATTGGTCTCTGAAAATAAAACTGGATTCGATTCCTGCTACGATTGAGAAAAATCATAAGTTAAAAGGTACGAATATACATTGTTTTAAAGTTTCTGTTTTCTATTGTAGAACATCCTCATTGTTGAAGGTAATGAAACAGTTTGCATCAGACACAAACAAGTCCTGTATGTTATTTTGTGTTCCTCTTTTACATTATCTGTATGATAAATATGTACCTTATCAAGCTGCCACCCCTAGGGTGAACCACGAAGATGCAAGGCCGGAATGGTGGGGCACTGCAGAATTTGACGACCAGCTTAAAATGTTTAAAGGGAAATCTAAATGGGACAGGTAAATTTGCAGGTTTAGTTTTTTGCATCCTACGAAAGAAATTCATTCTTTTCTATGCAGTTTCAATATAAAGTGGTCCGAGTACACAGTTATTTCGTAGTGCATTTCTTTTAGACAATAAATGAAAATTAAAAAAATCCCACCTGCGCTTTCTCAATAATATTTTTACAGTGTGTTGTACTACTTTTGGGACAAATTATATCAAAATTATAGAAAACTTCATCGGCTCTAACTCAAAATATGGACAATTTCATGTTAAGGGGGTCTTCAAATCTTTTGACAGCTTCCGAAGTGCTAATTTTTAACATTTTTCAGCTGGACCAAATCACTACTTTACTTTAAAATTCATGACCCAAATTTTTTTACAGTGTCATTTCACCCCCCTACTTACTATTTGAGTCATAAAACATGGAGAAATAAATTTGGAAGGGGTATAAAAAAAATCGACAAGTAACACACTGTCCACACTAGGGACTATATTCGTGGACAACGAAAATCAAAGGACGATAACTGTGTACCCGGACCAAGTAGGACATTAAGTCAATGCAGAAGTGTCAACTTTTTATATGACCGCAAAAAAATTTTTGTGGTCGTATATTGGTATGACGTTGGTGTCGTCGTCGTCGTCCGAAGACACATTAGTTTTCGCACTCTAACTTTAGTTTAAGTGAATGGATCTCAATGAAATTTTACCATAAGGTCCAATACCACAAAAGGAAGGTGGGGATTGATTTTGGGGGTTATGGTACCAACAGTTAAGGAATTAGGGGCCAAAAAGGGGCCAAAAATAAGCATTTTTGTAACTTCCAGACATAACTTGTGTGTTAGTGTATGGATCTCTCTGACATTGTACCACAAGGTTCCATATCACAAAGGGAATGCTGGGATTGGTTTTGGGGGTAATTGCCTCCAAATTTTAGGAATTAGGGGCCAAAAAGGGGCAAAAAACAAGCATTTTTCTAGTTTCATGACAATAACTTGTGTGTAAGTGTATGGATCTTTATGAAATTGTACTACAAGGTTCCATATCACAAAGGGAAAGCTGGAATTGAGTTTGGGGGTAATTGCCCAAAAAGTTTAGGAATTAGGGGCCCAAAAAAGGGGCAAAAAACAAGCATTTTTCTAGTTTCATGACAATAACTTGTGTGTAAGTGTATGGATCTTTATGAAATTGTACTACAAGGTTCCATATCACAAAGGGAAAGCTGGAATTGAGTTTGGGGGTAATTGCCCAAAAAGTTTAGGAATAAGGGGCCAAAATGGGGCCAAAAATAAGCATTTTTCTAGTTTCCAGACAATAACTTGTGTTCAAGTGTATGGATCTCTCTGAAATTGTACTGCAAGGTACCATACCACAAAGGGAAGGCTGGGATTGATTTTGGGGGTAATTCCCTCAAAATTTTAGTAATTAGGGGCCATAAAAGGGCAAAAAAACAAGCATTTTTCTAGTTTCAGGACAATAACTTGTGTGTAAGTGTATGGATCTTTATGAAATTGTACTGCAAGGTTCCATATCACAAAGGGAAAGCTGGGTTTGAGTTTGGGGATAATTGCCCTAAACGTTTAGGAATTTGGGGCCAAAAAACAAGCATTTTTCTAGTTTCCAGACAATAACTTGTGTTCAAGTGTATGGATCTCTCTGAAATTGTACTGCAAGGTACCACACCACAAAGGGAAGGCTGGAATAGAGTTTGGGGGTGATGAATCATAAGGGGATTCAAAAAATTTGGGGGGGGGATTTTTTTTTCCTTTTTTTTCTTTAAAATTTTCCATTTTAAATTGGTTATTTCTGATTTATATATAAAAGCAAATAATAATGATATGGTTTGAATAGGTAAATTAAAAATTTTTAAGTTCTTAGACCACTTTCATTCTGTGTCAGAAACCTATGCTGTGTCAAATATTTAATTACAATCCAAATTCAGTGCTGTATCAAGCTTGAATGTTGTGTCCATACTTGCCCCAACTGTTCAGGGTTCAACCTCTGCGGTCATATCAAGCTGCGCCCCAGCGGAGCATTTTATTAATTTATGAAGTTAATTAATGACCGCTAAAGAAAACTTTTATTAAAAATTAATTATATTTGTATTAAAACTTATGAAATGATTTTTGCAATTACATTTAACCTTCTTTTTACCAAAAAAAAAATTAAATGTTTTAAAATTTATTAAAATTAACCTTCAAATTAAACAAATATTAATCCATTTCATGTAACTAAAACTAAACATGTAGCTCCAGCACTGTATGCTATGTAAACAAACGACTACATGAACTTACAATTAAATAATGATGAAAGTGGGAGAAATAGAGAGATTTGAGTTTCTATCGAGAAAATTTTCCATATTTCGAAATAAAAATGTAATTGTAGAATCCCACTGATATTTGGAGAGTGATTGTGTTTAGCAACAATTTGAACTGTAAGATATTCTTTATTTTAGTGTTGTCATATTGAACGGTTTTGCCTAACTGGTTACTCGGATAATCTTTCCACTGATTAACCGGTAGTTCAGTTGATGTTTAAAGGCCTTATCTACAGTACTCTACAAATGCATGTTTTTATGATACAATAAATTGAGGTTCATCCTTGGGCATTGTGAGGCTTGGCTTTAATCATTCCTTGTGAAGTTTTACTAGTAATACTACCATATCAACTATGGCCTTTGTAACAACTTCAGATTGAGAAGATGAAAATCTTCTTGATCTCGTCGAATTGAGAATGTCTGAAACCATTGATTGTTTCATTTTCTCTGGTGTCTCAGAAAATTCTGTAGATTGTTTTAATTTAGATGATTAAACTAGTTACTAGTACCAACCATTATACATTAAATCCAGTTTGCATTCACCATTTTTGAGTCAGCATTTTGTTTAAAGTATGACAAATCCTTGGACGATGGAGGTTGCATATTTATATGTAGGCCTACACAATATTAAATAAAAAATGAAATGAAGTAATTAGTAGAACTTCATCGTCTTACAACAGTTACTGTTCAAAATACATGTATGCTAATTATGTTTACTTAAGATCTTGCCCCAAGCATGATAGACAAGTTGTCCTTATGCTAAATAATTTTGTAAAGTCAGAATGTTTTCAGGTAAACAGTTGCAATCAATAAACTGGCCAATTGATCTGTCAAATTAATTACCATGACGATAATTTTATAATTCAACAAAATTTGTTAATGATTTTAATACACATTTATATCAAATCTATTAAAATTGAAAAAGGTCAGGTTAGTGTTTTTGGTATTCGATACTAGATCCTTCCGACGGTTAACTGATTAACCATTGACAACACTACTTTATTTCAAGTGAAGACATTATGTAAAAATTATTGGGTACTTTTCTGTGATAAAGAAGAATTTTATTTTCATTAAATTACTAAACAATTAGTTTTAAATGATTCTTTTAATATTGTACAGGAAAAGGAGTGAACTTACGCAGTTGTTGGCACCATACTTTAAAGTGGACTATTTATTTCCAAGAACCTTTTTAGCATGTGTGAATTTTTTCCATGTAACAGAAGTTGTTAACCTAGAGTTGCTGCCTCCAGATGCTGTTCTTGCAACACTCTGTTTTCACATCAAAGCTGATTCCCATACTGGAAATTATGTTACAAAAGAAAAGGCTACGGTAGAGTATTATTTATTATTAAAGTCTGTTTTTTATTTGAAATACTTAGAGATTATAAGCAGTCTTGTATTTCAATTTTATCATCTGTCACCACAATCATAATTTTATTTAACTCAAATTAAATATTTTCAAAATATTTGGAAATATGCAAGTCATCAAAATAATTTAGAAGGTGTACTCTAAAAGTCAGTTATCTTAAATATTTCTGTCAGTACTGTAAATGAAACATATCTGTTAAATTACTATACCCAACTCTAGGAGAAAAAAATGTATTTACCTTATCTGTCCATCTGTTTTGTCTGTCCATTCATCCAACAAATGTTTCTATCACAATTTCTCATGAACTACTGGATTAATGGCATTATCATTCTATTTTCTTTTGACCGAAACTTTCTTAAGGCAGTTATGAAATATGATAAAGTTAAACTATAGTAAATGAAAATGAGTAAATCTGTTGATTGTGAGTCCATCTGTCTGTTTGTCAATCTGTTAGTTTGTTTTCCCATATCAGGTTAAAGTTTTGATTTAGGACAGTTTGTGGTCACATGATCTTGAAACTTAGTACACATGTTCATTATGAAGTGAACTGTTAAATATATATACCAAATCATGGTTTCGACCAAAATTTCAATGTTCACTGATCATGGAAATGTGGTAAGGCTAGCAGGGCATCTTGTCCTATTGACACATATTATTGTTCTAAATGAAACAGTCATGTGAACAATCTTTTCTTTTTTTGAATTAAAGAAGCTATTGAGGCTTAATACTTTCTTTGTAACATTCTTATCATATGAGGTATGTATGAAATAGAAATTTTACTTCCTTGTTCTGTGAATTCTGATTTTAGCTGCCTCTTGGAAAGTTTTCACTCAAAGCATATGTAACATGAGAACATGCAGGCTGAGGTGAACCTGTAGAATAAGTTTTAAAGTTATTTACAGCTGCTTTCAGATTTATATCTTTCTTTTGTTTTTCTTTTACAGGGTGCCATAAAAACTCTAGAAAAACTGTCATCTATACTGTTGAAATTGGCTCAAGATTGGTAAGTATTAAAGTTCTATGGACTATTCTCTGAAAGTTTGATTGAATGTTGCTGCTGAATTCATTACAGTGTGCAAGGTAATGGATTTATTTTTGATATTAATTTATTCAAACCCAGTATATTGTATTACCTTCTTTGTCAATGATAAGATAATGAAAAATGAATTATGTCAAAACATTGGTGTTGTCTCTTCTTCTGTGAATGTTGAACAAGGATTGACATAGATGTTACATCAGTTATGAATTTAGGACTAAGATCTTTTCTTCATAATGCCTGTTGATCAGGTGTGTTTTGTGCGTTAGGGTTTCATGATGACTTACAGATTGTGTTTGCCATTTTCCCTGTTGACAAATGCAATTTTGGTGAAATTGCACCACTTGGACTTATAAAGAAGGAGGTGCAATAAGGCCTCTTGTAATGGTATTGTTACTGTCTACTACAAATGAAGCATATACTTGGAAAAATAGCTGTAATGAAAACAAAAATTCTTCAATGAATAGCTGTAGCTGTATAAGCAAAGTTTAATATTAGATGAAAGATATATACTTCATATATTGGAATGTTGCATATAAATGGAAAGTTTACAATGTGAAAATTGACATCATCTACCTTTAATCTGTCTTATTTTTGGGGGTAAACAACATATTGCACAGTGAACACAGGATATCTTGTGAAAAAATTGACATCACCTACATTTAATCTGTCTTATTTTTTTGGGGAAAACAACATATTGCACACTAACACATGATATCTGTATCTTATGTATGACTTTTGCAACCCTGGTGTGTAAATATTATTTATTGGTTCTGTATAATACTAAGAGTTTATCTGTCAAGTTAAGACAGTATTTTCTAGATTTCTGTTCTGCCTATTGGGATCTATAATATGATGACATTACCCCAATTAATGCAGATGTAGCTTGGGCAACATGTATCAAAGAATTTCATATGAATCGCTGCATGGGGCCATCTTGAACTTGCAGATAATTATGAGCCTTTGCTCTGTGTTGAAGACCTTAGTTAGACTTTTCAAGGAAGAATGGCAATACAAACAATGTACCTTATTTTTAAAAGTTTTTAGCAGTTGATGAAGGAATTTTATGTCACGAATTAATACATTTTGGCATATATTCTAAATATAAAATCTAAGAGCAGGATTTAATGTTATATTACAGTGACTTAACAATTGAGACACCTCTGAGAAATTACAAAATTGCTGGCAATATTCTGGACCTAGTAGGTACCAAATATGTAGCAGAAGATTATAAATCACCTCTATGCATCGGTGTAGCTGAAGTTTTCTTTATATCCATTGATTGGTTTGAAAGATGCCTCAAAAGGAGACAGGCACAGGGCAAAACTGGAGCCTATACAGACCATCTTTTAACTTTCCAAAAACACAGAGAGAGATTAAAGAACATCATGATCAATGAGCGTTACTATGGATATGAAGAATATTTCTTGAGGGTAAGATTATGGATAGGAAGGACAATGTTAAAATACAAGAAAATTCAAGAATTATGTTTAATATCTTTCCATTGGACTTCTTGTGGGGTGATTGGGTTATTCTTATGATGTAAGAATTTGCAATACCTTGATTGTTGAGAAAGTTCATGTACTACTTCTAACAATTTAAGATTTTACATGCATGCCTGTATTTGATGATGGTGTGCTGCACTTTTTGGGAAAGAAATTTAATTCAAAATACACTTCAGTCGATAAAAATTGAAATAGGAAGGTTTTGTGTCTAACAATTTTCATAATTTAGCAATTCAAACATTAAATTTTTGTCCTTATTAATAATGTTGTCTTTTCTCAGTATCCTAGTAAATATTTTGTTATAAATAAGGCAGTTAGTTTTCTCAATTGAATTGTTTCATATTTTTCATGTCGGGCCTTTTATAGCCAACTATACAGTATGGGTTTTTAAAGCAATTGCTTTCATGCTATAGCATATAGCCATCTTTGTGACCCAGATCGATCAAACCAAAGTTTTTGAAATGATAAAACTGATTCCTTGTCTGTCATTCTAAAAATCCTCTGTATGTTTTCTAATGGAATGGAATACATTTATTGGAACAATTGAAAAACAACAGTGGGTTTGTGAAGTTTCAACATGTGTTGTTGTAGATGTATTTTTGTAAGAGGACAACCGTTTGACTAAGAAGGCTGAGTGAGAAAGTGCTTTTTTTATACCTGCGATTTCCTTCTTGAGACGTTTCATCAAAATATTGAAGCATGTCAGTTGTTGATTTGATATTGAAAATTTGCCTGAATTATACCTTATACGGTTAAATGTTATTTAATTCATATTTCTTTTTTGAAAGAGGTCAAGTTGCTCTTGTTTATTTATAAAATCTTCGTTCATTCATAAAATTATCGTAAAATCACTATGCACGTTATAGTGATCTTGAGACATTGTCAAATGTCATAATGACCCTACACAATGCATGACCATCGTCTTTTCATTTGATGGTTTAAAAATAGATCTCTCTAGCATTGACCGTGTACCAGTTTGGTCGTTTTCATAGGGCGCCCTTTCCCGACTGACACCCTGTACTCTTTTAATTCACCCTGCCCGATTTTGTGAATTTGTACACAGACAAAATATTGTCTGACTTTGAACTTATCCCCAGGTAGACAATCATTATCAGCCAATCAAAATTGTTGTTTCTCGTGATTATTGGGCTGTATTTAATCAGCCAATCAAAATTGGTGTTTCTCTTGATTATTGGGCTGCATTGCAAGTTAACATTCTAAATTTTGAACTTGTTTGGAACATCGGAATTGTACAAATCGTGATCATGGCAGATGAATTTTCATCTGGAAGAAGGTTCAGAAAAGCACTGCTGATTTACAAAATTGAAAGATACAGTACTCAATTTTATTTTATTATTAGTACTACCTTAATACTATTGTCTTATTTCTATTACAATGCCCAGCCAGGAAAGATGTTTTGAAAGAAGGATTAGAAAAAAGTAAAGAAACAAACAGGAGTTTGAATGACTTCTTTTGTACTACATGAGTGTTTTAAATATTTGATTTTCAATCCTATGCAAAAAATCATCAAGCATATTGACAATGACTTCATGAAACTTTTAACTGTAAATTAATTTCTATTTTTAAAATCTGTTGCTTTATTTTTTTACGGGATTATGTCATTAGTAATGAAAGGGGTTTAGCGTTAGCCAGTTCTTAGATAAATTTCAGAAGCCGGTCCCATCTTCAAATCTTTAATCAGTATGTATGAATGCATGATTCTTATTGTAAAAAACTATAGTTCGGTAGAACACTTGTGTCAGGAAAGTTAAAATCATCAACTCAATGGTTAAATTTAAACCAATTATGATATACTTAAAATTAAGATAGAAGCAATAGAGATAATGAAGCCAGGTGCATGGATTGTAATGTTAATAATTGTTCAGTAATAAACACTCTACAAGGGGATAATCTGTTTTGTCTTTTTCGGGAGTTATATATTTCCACAAATATATTTGCCTCCCCAGAAGCCAGGTAAACAGGTCGTCACCTGTTAAAACATTGTAAAAATGACTTTCTGCTAGATAAGTCTTATATTGATTTAAAGTTAAAACATCATTACTTCTCACTAGATAAGACCCCTCTCAGGTTTAATTCTTTTACATGTGGATGAAAAATAAAAGTCGCAAACACATTAACTAGGCAGCAATTGCTTTAACAGTCTTTAAGGCTTTGATTCTCATTGTTGAAGGCTGTACAGTTGCCTACAATTGCTTACATCAACTTCATTTAAACTTTGGTGGATAATTGTCTCATTGGCAATCATACCTCATCTCCTTATTTTTATATTGGGTAGGTAGTTTTTTTTTCTTTTTTTTGGCCAACAACATAAGTTACATGTTTTAGACAAGGAAATGATGTTAGAGCAGGAAAAAATCTTTAAAAATTTTTTTAACTGATTTATGTCAAAAAAAATTTCTGTTAGGCTGCATTTTATGTTGGTAGGAAGGCAACATCAAAGAATCAAAATTTTATTTTTGGCCTGAAGTCTGGACCAACTTGATTGTCAAAAACAGTGATGTTGACATATTGCGACAGCATTTCTGACTTTGTTCATTTACCTTTCTGTTACTGAACATTTTCTAATAATAAAAAAAAAAAGTTGCATACTATAGATATGTTAAGGTCCTGATTTCAATTAAGTTTGAAGCCTTTATGTGCTCTGAAAATGAAAGTGAATTATTGTGAAAGTAAAGGATCTTGAATAATAGATGTCCTGTAAGTATGAAATAAAAATTAAAAAAAAAAAGATCAGATTCCATTTATATTAAATTGGTAGATTATATTTCTAGGTCTGGAATAGAGCTTTGGAGGTGAGAATTCCAGATGGAGAACTCAAAGATGCTTACATTAAATTTTTGAGAGATGAGTTGAAACAAACCCTTGAGAAATGTTCAACGGTAAGTTCATCATTTTATTTTTGTTGCATAACCACAAGATGGCCACAATGATGAATACAATTTTTCAATTACCATCTTAGACTGGTACATCCCATTTTCTGACTACAAGTTTTTTTTTAATGCCTGGATAAGCAAAGTATCTTCATGATAAACATAATTTTTGAAACTATTTTGTTTTAGATTTTTGATAATTGTGGATTCATAAGTATTTGCTAGATATTATTTTTTTTTGAATAATGTGTGTAGACAAACTATGAAACTATGTTTCCAAATATAAAAAAAATTCTGAATGATTAAAGAGGAGAAATTGATAAGAAACAGAATTAAATTTCTTGAAGTGTAAAATATAAAATGTCAATTTTCACATTCTTATCGAAATGTGATCATTTATTTATAGTTACATTTTTCATAATTTCACACAAGATACTTTCAGAATTTATTATTTGAACTCACTCCAAATACTTTGACTATTCCACTTTGAATTAAAACTTCTTAAACAACAGTCAGAGTTTTCATTATGTATGCTTGAAAAGAATGGAATTTACCTCTTTCATTCAATCCCCCCCCCAAAAAAAAAACAACAAAAAAAACCCCCTCAAATATCCATCAGACAGAGTAATACTGGACATTTACTGCCTTTGAAATGTCTTTTGGGGCATTATAAGGACTCATTAATACACTTATTCATTATGTTTATGATTTCCACATACCTTTAGTTTGATGCACTAAGGTTAGGTTAAAACAGATTATTTGTTGACCAATTTTGGAAAATATTAGAATCTGGTATATTCTGGGTTGTCGCAAAGTTTCATATTGAAATGAAAGACTTTCTTTTTAGCTCACCTGACCCAAAGGATCAAGTGAGCTTTTCTCATCACTTGGCATCCGTCGCCTGTTAAATTTTCCAAAAATCTTCTCCTCTGAAACTACTAGGTCAATGTTAACCAAAGTTGGCCACAATCACCATTAGGGTATCTAGTTTAAAAAATGTGTCCGATGACCCTGCCTGCCAGCCAAGATGGCCAAGATGGATAAAAATAGAATATAGGGGTAAAATGCAGGCTTATATCTCTGAAACTAAAGCATTATAGCAAATCTGACAGGGTAAAAATGTTCATCAGGTTTAGATCTGTCTGCCCACAAATTTTCAGACGAATCAGACATCCTGTTGCTGGGTTGCTGCCACTGAATTGGTAATTTTAAGGAAATTTTGCAATATTTGGTTATCATCTTGAATATTATTATAGATAGAGATAAAATGTAAACAGCAATAATGTTCAGCAAAGTAAGATCTACAAATAAGTCAGCATAACCAAAATTGTCAATAGACCCCCTTAAGGAGTTATTGCCCTTTAAAGTCAAATTTTCACAATTTTTCGTAAATTTTTGTAATATTTTACAAAAATCTTCTCCTCTGAAACTACTGAGCCAAATTTAACCAAACTTGGCCACAATCATCATTAGGGTATCTAGTTTAAGAAATGTGTCCGATGACCCTGCCTACCAACCAACATTGCTAAAAATAGAACATAGGGGTAAAATGCAGTTTTTGGGATACAAGTGCTGTCAGGCAATCTGTAGACTTTTACCATTGACTCCCTTCCAAGACGCTCACGTCAACCGTTTTGTGTTTACATTAATAGGAACAACTCAGATTCTTAAGATTGTCCTGTTATAAAATGAAAAAACAAGTATTTAGTATTTTACTGAGAAATTAAAATGGACTCAGTTATTTGTAATGGGGGAAAGTAATTTAGACATCAATGAACATGATGAATAGCTTTTTTTTTTTTAACAAGACATCAATGAATAGCTAGTATTTTCCCTTAAACATGTTTAATGTATTAAATGAACAGTGAACATAATCAAGAAATGCATCAGAAGAAAAAGGTTGATTATTTCATACTGACAGAAGATACAGAAGCATGAGTAGCAAAATCTCATGTACAAAAAATTCGTAAGGGTTCCGCGGAACCCAGTGTCTCGCCTACTTTTGCTGTTAATCGCAGGCTCAACAAAAATGAGGAAAAAAATTAATAAAAATATTCCTCTCTATACTATCTTTTGATTGTAAGTAGCTTCTGTCCAAGTTTGGTAAAAATCCAGGATAGTTTATGAATCTAATAAATGATTTAAAAACTTAAACTGCAGACTGTATGTAATGTTAACGGGAAGAAAAACTAAGTCCATTTATAAGAAAAATACGGAAAAAATGGAACAAAATATTTACAAAATTTACTTCTGGATACTAGCTTTTAATCAGAAACAAGCTTCTGTCCAAGTTTGGTAGAAATCCAGGATAGTTTAAGAAAGTTATTAAAATTTGAAAAACTTTAGCCACAGAGTGAATATTTGTGGCCGCCGCCGCCGCCAACAACGACGACGAAGACGACGCCGACAACGGAATGTAGGATTGCTATGTCTCACTTTTTCGACAAAAGTCGAAAGCTCGACAAAAATGTATGGAACTTATAATTTGGTATGCTAGAAATGATACATAAAACTCGTCAGTGGCATATGAATCAAAACAGTAAGAAAGTCGAATCAAATACTAAGTTGAAAGTTGAAGAACATAAAAAACAGCGTTTAGTTTAATCCATTTTTTTTTTTGCCGAGCCTGTGACTTTTGTGGCAAAAGCGAGACATAGTGATCCTACATTCTGTCTGTGTCGTCGGCAGCGGCGTCCACAAATATTCACTCTGTGGTTAAAGTTTTTGAAATTTTAATAACTTTCTTAAACTATCCTGCATTTCAACCAAACATGGACAGAAGCTTGTTTATAATCATTAGATAGTATCCAGAAGAAAATTTTGTAAAAAAAAATCCTATTTATCCATATTTTACTCATATATGGACTTAGTTTTTCTGCCAGTTAACAAAACATTCACTCTGTGGTTAAAGTTTTTCAAATTTTAATGACTTTCTTAAACTATCCTGGATTTGTACCACACTTGGACAGAAGCTTGTTTATGATCAAAAGCTAGTATCTAGAAGGAAATTTTGTAAAAATTTATTTCCTGTTTTTCCGTATATTACTTATAAATGGACTTAGTTTTATTCCAGTTAACATTACGTACAGTCTGCAGTTTAAGTTTTTAAATCATTTATTAGATTCATAAACCCTCTTGAATTTTACCAAACTTGAACAGAACTTCTTACAATCAAAAGATAGTATCTAGAGGAAAATTTTTAATAATTTTTTCCCCATTTTTGTTGAGCCTGCGACTAACAGCAAAAGTAGGCGAGACACTGGGTTCTGCGGAACAATTACAAATTTTTTTGTTAAATTGAGGTACTGTTTTCCAAAAAGCTTTTCATTAATGATAGAATTTACAATCTTGCCCGCAATCATCATTTAAATGTGTGCAATTTGGAAGACGTCTAGGATTTTAACATTTTGGGTCATATGAATCCTAAATCCAAAGAAAGAACCGATTGACTTTTGTGTGCTTGTACAAATGTATATTTTTGACACTTAGTATGTGGGATTGATAACATTTAGAAGGAATCTATACTACTAAAGGAAGAGACTGATTTCATTGAGCCCCAAATCCTCTGAAACCATACAAAGTCGGAAATATTTGTGATATCATGTATAAAACTTGTGTTTTGTTCTTCCTAAATTTGTTATGAAACACTTGTTTTTCCACAGAAAATGCCAATTTTTGAGAAAATATCAAAATTTTGGAGACCGTTATCGATCTTTGTCTTATACCCTGTCGTGCATGCTCAATCGACGTACTGCACGCGAAATCTAACTAATATAGACAGTGGTGTTGATTGAAAATTACGACATTCCAGGCCCGATCCCAATAGTTACCTGTTGCATAATCTGTACTTTCTGACTGTCAGGTGCACCACCAAACAGTGTATATGGGATCAAAATCACACCTGAACTTTGTCATTATACTGACTAATACCAATGAAAACAATGGCAATCGTATCCCTCAGAGTAATCATGCTCTTTGATTGGCTTATATCTCTGAAACTAAAGCATTTAGAGCAAATCTGACACTGTGTAAAAATATTATCAGGTTGAGATCTATCTGCCCTGGAATCTTCAGACGAATCAGACAACCCATTGTTGGGTTGCCTCCCCTGAATTGGTAATTTTAAGGAAATTTTGCAGTTTTTGGGTTATTATCTTAAATATTATTATAGATAAAGATAAACTGTAAACAGCAATAATGTTCAGCAAAGTACGATCTACAAATAAGTCAAAATGACCAAAATTGTCAATTGACCCCTTAAGGAATTATTGCCCTTAATAGTCAATTTTTTTCGTAAATTTTTGTAATCTTTTACAAAAATCTTCTCCACTTAATCTACTGGGCCAAATAGAATTAAACTTAGCCACAATTTTCAATAGGGTATCTTGATTGAATAATGTATCCGATGACCCTGTCATCCAACCAACATGGCCACCATGGCTAAAAATAGAACATAGGGGTTTACTGTAGAAGTCTAAGGGAAAATTAAAAAAAAACCAATTTCAAATGGTCACAACATGAAAACTAATTTAAATAATGATAAGGGGTCTTCAGTAACTATTGTAAGACTCCAATGGGATGACCTGCTTTTAATTTAACTACTGGGCCAAATTAAACTAAACTTGGTCTCAATCATTATTAGGGTATCTAATACTATTAATTATGATTTTACACTTATTTTACATGATTTCCAAAACAACAGTAGATACAGATGAGCGACACAGGCTCTTGAGAGCCTTTAGTTACATTTTACATATTTTTTTTATACGACCGCAAAAAAAATTGGGGTCGTATATTGGTATCCCGTCGTCATCGTCAGCGTCTTCCGAAGACATTTGGTTTCCAGACAATAACTTAAGTTTAAGTGTATGGATCTCTATGAAATTTAACCAAAAGGTTCAATACCGCAAAAGGATGGTTTGGATTGTTTTTGGGGGTGATGGTCCCAACCCTTTAGGAATAAAGGGGCCAAAAAGGGGCCAAAAATAAGCATTTTTATATGATCGCAAAAAATTTTACAGCCGCATATTGGTATCACGTTGTCGTCAGCGTCGTCCAAAGACAGTTGGTTTCCGGACAATAACTTTTGTGTAATTAAATAGAAATCTATAAAACTTAAATACAACGTTTATAACCACAAAAGGAAGATTGGGATTGATTTGGGGGGTTATGGTCCTAATAGTTTAGGAATTAGGGGCCAAAAAGGGGCCCAAATAAGCATTATT